GGCATGTAGCTTACTGGTAGAACACTTGCCTAACATGCACAAAACCCTGGGTTCAATCTCCAGCCCTGCAAAAAAAAAAATAAATAAATAAATAAATATATATATATATATATATATATATTTATAGAACTCTGGTTAATAATGTTGAAATATTTTAGAGGAATGTACTAATGTCCGCAACTCACTTTGAAAGGCAATAACAAAAATAATTATATGGTAGCTGGATACACTGACAAATGAGTGGAGAATCAATACATAATAAAGTGAATACTGTAAAATGTTAATTGAAGAAATTAGGGGGAAATGGAATGAGAACACTGGAAAAGTTCTTTCAACTTTTTACAAAATTAATTATACACCTATTCTAAGTACATGGGTGTTCACCATATAAGTTTTTCAGCTTTTCTCAAAGTTTGAAATTTTGTAATAGAATGTTGAGAACAAAAGATAATTGAAGATTATTAGCAGATTGCCTATGAGCTGGAGTCCTGGCCCTAGGGAAAGACCCGAGAATCTAGCTGATGCAGTGGGGAGTAGGACAGACAAAGGAGCCTCTTGGGTTGAGAATTTGGCCTTCCAAAGTTGCTCCATTCCAACTTTGGCAATAAACCTGCAGACTTAGGCCAAGTGAAGGACCAAGTTCTTGCATTTCGAAAAACCTACTGGCTCATGCTCTCTCCTATTGCCTCACTGGCAAGATGGTGACTTTAAGTGTTCTCAGCAGCTCTGTTCTATGAACCTGGAATGGAAAGGGACTGTCTGACACCGTTCATTCTCTATCGAACATTTATACTCTCTGTACTTGGCTTTGAATGTACTATGATGAACTGAATAAAATGATTCCTGCCTGTATTAATCTTACCTTTGATGAAATGCTATGTCTCTTCTATTTCAGTCATTACTTATACCCCAAATAGAAGCTTTGCAAGTTCTTCTTTGTAGGGAGGGCATTTTGATATTTCTTAAGTTTTTGAATTTTGAAAATCTCCTTTCTAATGTAGGATTTGATACTGCTATCTGAACAGAAGGGATAATTTATTGTTTTATTCTCTCTGGAAAGAAATGACACAAGAAGATCTCAAAAACTCAGAATAGCTCAGCAAGAAATTGAATACATGTCTGGTGACCTAGGCTCTGGTTACCTTATACTCTCTTGAAGCAGAGGTATGGGAGAAAGGGCACTCAGTTGTTAAACTCAACTATCCACTCCTCTTCCAAAAGAGGTCATACTCATTACCATTCCTCACTCCAGCAACCGAGCCAGAAATCTCGCCCAAAGTTTAGATCAAAGACTTGGCATTCATAGGAGGTACCTGGCCCACTGAGTGGCTTGACATGACCTTGAATCTCATGTTACAGATCCAGTTGCTCCAGTCTCTCCTTTAACATACAAGAATGAAAAATCCTTAGTTAAATATTTCTTTTTCCCATGTTTTTCTGGTAAAATGGGTGCATGTGTTTAGTTGGTATAATGCTATTAAAATTACCCCAAATTGCAGCAAAAAGAAAATGAAAATCAGTTGCCTTCATTAGAAAAGCTGTCATGCTTTCTTTTCTATAGACACGCCCCTTGCTTAAATGGACAATTTTCCCTCTGTAAAATGCAGATAGTCACCCATCTATCACCTTTCTGTTCTTACAAATCCACCAGCTCTGAACACTCCTCACCATGATCATTCTATCTTCTTATTGTCCCTCCTCCTGGCTGGATACCTTTGTTTCCTCTCCTTCCTCCAACCTTCCCAAGAATTTTTAACCTCATAGTTGTCTACATACTTGTTTTTCTTCCCTAGAGTGCTGTTTTTCAGAGTTAGACTCTTAGGAGATAATGATATGACTCAAGGAAATAAGGGCATGGTTTTCCTCTTCCTGGTGCCAGTTAAGATGATTGGTGCTTTGGGACCTTGTGAGCCTCTTTGAAAACAACAGAGCTAGTTGGATTCCAGCAATTCACTTTCTGAAGGCTGAGCGTGTCTGGGCAATGGCTGCATAGTTTGGATGGAGTCATCACTGATGAGGTAGAGTTAGCTCAGCCAGGGAGCACTCATTGCTCCTTTTAAATTTCACGGCACCGGAGATGAAGTCACATTTCTTCTTTTAAAGCAGAACAGATTTGCCCTGTGAGTTCCTGTCACTTCTGTTAGGACTTAGTGTTTTTTCTACTGCTGGTCATCAAAACCTTATCTCAGGTAAGGAAAGTTTTATTTAGTGAGTTTCCATCCAGAGAAGCTTAATTTGAGGAGACTTTGGAAGGTATTCCTGGGTATGTTTAGAGTGAATCAAGAGATACTCAATTGGGTGGGAAGGATGACTTTTTCCATGGCAGCTGATACCCATATGGTGGAGCCATGAGCCCTGGCTGGGGACTCAGATCTGAGGTCCAGAGACGGATGTGGAAATCTAATTTGGGCTTGGTTTGAGGACCTTTCGTAATCATTGTGTAAAGAGCTTCAATAAGAGCAAGGCAGCTGTGAGGGTCTCTGTGGGCTGGAATCATCTTTACCCTCTTTGTCCTTTTAGTGACTGGCTTTGTGTTTGGGTAGACCTTTAGAGAGTCTCATGATTATAGTTGATGTGCAGAAAAGCAGCAGCTCTCTGGAGAGCTTGATTTGTCCTTTAGCTGGTTTGAATGCTTTCCTTCTTCCTCAGGCATATAGCTGGAGACAAAGGGCCCCAGGATCCCTGTCCTGACATGCAGGCACCTTGTATAAACAATGGCGCGGTTGCTGTGTAGGGGGCAGAAGTGTGCAAACACATCTCAATGCTTGTCCATATGAATTCTTCTAAGAAAATAAGAATGATTTGTGTGTGTGTGTGTGTGTGTTTGTGCATGTAGGCAGACCCTATGATCCTAGAGACCACTGAAATCTCCCTGAAACACTTTCTGTGAGTTTTGAGTTGCTGTCACTGATTGAATCATATAGCTTTTATTAGCTTTGGATGGCTCAATAAAGACCTCTTGGTTTTAAGAGAGGTGGCTACAGGATGACAAATAGCTTTTGAAAAGTGTTGAACCACTAGCAAATGAAAATGTTGACAATTGCAGAGCCTTTTATTTTTTTTAACATAGAACTCTGTCAGATATAGTATTTGTCACAGTCTTGAAGGGAGCAAAATTTTGTTTAGATAAGAGGTGTTTGCTTTATTTTAAATGCATACTAGCATACTAGCTTCCAGTGATTGGTTACAGATTCTACTCAAACTCACCATGTCCTAACTTCATCCTCACCTACAATCTGCTCCCTTTTCTGGGTTCCCTATCTCAGTTGAGAACACTGATTATCCAAAACAGATTTCAGTATTTCTCCCCTGACCTCTTCCTCTTCCTCATATTTTAAATATCTAGTTTGGCAACACATCAAACAGATTCAAACTCCATATCATCTCTCAAATCTACCCAGTCCTCTCACCTCGATAAATATCATTCTAGTGTAAGCCCTTATCATCCACTAGCCTTCAAATGTTTTATACCTGTCCATTCCACTACTCCTACTTAGTCCAACCCAGCAACAACCTTTCTTTGCCTGATTGATTGCAAGAGGTTAAGAGGTTATCTTAACTGGTCTCCTGGCTACCAGGCTCCCTCTTAGAATAAGATGATGTAAGATTCTCTTTCCAAGCTCTTAAAGGACAATTTCACCAGAACAGAGCTCAAAACACTTATTACCTTATCTGGGATCCAGAAGTGTTAGCATTTTTATAATTATTTCAAGAAAAAAGGCCAAAGGAATGGGGAAGGATGGAGAATGTAGATTTGCAATAGGAAGACAGCTTAAAGAATGGATAAAATGCAAACCCTGGAACTATGCAAATCTTCATTTGAATCCTGGCTCCTCTACTTCCTTATGTGGCCTTGACCAACTGGCTAAACCTTCTTGAGGCTCATTTTCCTTCACTGTGAAATGGAAATAATAATGCCTATTTCACTAGGTGAACAGAAGAGACAAGAACATTCATGTGAAACTCGAAAACATGGAAATTATGAATTTTTAGTTCCTTTTCTTCTTTCTTTCCCTTTAAAGGCTTACAATCTCTATTCTATATCTTGTAAGTATTCATGTGTGTATATCTATATAATTATCTGTATTTAGTGCAATAGGAAGGGGGAGTGACAAAGAACTACATGAGAACTCTCTTCAGAAAGTTACAGTTACTTAGGAAGATAAAGTCAACTGAAATAGCACAAAATGTCTATAAAATAAGCAGCCCGTGACTGTAATGTGTACCGGTGGAGTACATAAGCAGGCAGGATCTGAGTGAGCATGTTTGCAGTTACCTGCAGAAAGAGTGTCAGTAGATCTATATTAAGCAATTTTAGACTTAGGCTCCTTGACAGTTTAAAAATTATTGGCCTCTCTGACATTGAAGAAAAGTTTCCCCAAAGACTTTATATTTTTAGAATGATTTAAGGACATCTAAATTAGCATTTAAAGAGATATTATTCATGCATTCATTCATTCACCAAGCATTGACTGAGTGCTGATTCCTATATTAAACAAATTCTCTGCTACTTTTCCATGGGAGATTGAGGCTAATTCTCCTTCTCTTGAATCTATATTGAGCTTACAGACTTGCTTGGCCAACAGAATGAGAAGTGACACTTTAGGACAACCAGAGGTGGGTTCTGAGAAAGAAGGTTTGCAGCTTCCTCCTGCATTTATGTCCCACTCACTCTGGGGGAAGCCAACTACCATACGAAGGCATGTGCTAGCAAACCAGTTCTCTAGGAAACTAACAAATCAGTTTTCATAGTGTATATACTCCCACTGTTGCCATTTCAAGCTACCCACTGAACACAGATGTAGGAAGACACAAACAGAATCAGCTCATACAAGCTGGAACAAGCAGCCCCAGCCTAGGGCTGCCAATTGCTCTGAGACCACCACGCTGTGAAAAAGCCCAGGCCTATGGGCAGAGGCCTCCAGGAGAGAAGCTACCTTCAGATTCTCAGCCACTGTTCTGGATATATGAGGACGAAGCCGTTAGATGATTCCAGATCTCGCCATTGTCTGACTGCAACTGTGTGAAAGAATTTGACTGAAAATTGCTCAGGTCAGCCCAGGCAACCCACAGAACTAATTGGAAGAAATAACAACACTGTACTATCCAAGCTTCAGAGTGGTTTTTGTGCAGCAGTAGATAGCTGGGGCAAGATGTTAGCCTTGTTTTACACAGATACCAGCCTAGATCAAGCCTCTGAGGTGGAGTAAGAAGAAGAGTCCAACCAGGGATTATTCTGCCCTTTCATATTCTCTGGCCTTATACCACTGAAAAAGCAAATGCTTTAGTCTAAAAAGTCTTTTTTTATTTTGCCTTTATTTTTGAAGAATACTTATGGGTAGCTTCTACTGAATAAATTATTGTTTGGAATAAAAAGCATGAGAAAGAGGCTCAATTATTTAATTAATAAATTTTACCATTATGAAAAAAAATCAGTGGAAAAAAGATGTGTTTTTTTTCTATTTGTTAATTTTATTGGTACATTTTAGGTATACAATATGCTGACATTCATTATTGGGAATTTGCACCTTTACATGATATATCTTGGTTCCTATTTTTTTCCCCATTCCCCTGACCTCCCTTCAACCCCTCCACCTCTCCCTATTTACAAAGACTTTGCTTTCATTTCTTCCTTTTCTCATGTTTATTCCTACCCCTTCTTTCCTTTCTCCCACCCCTTCCACTTCTCCTTCCCCTTTGGACATTTTCTTCCTATTTCCCATTATCTATTATACATTTTGATCCTTTTTTTTGGTTTTGTTTTTTTGGTATGGGGGATCAAACTCAGGTCCTTGTGCTTTCGAGGCAGGGGTGGTGCCACTGAGCTAAATCCCTGGCCCCATTTTGATCCTTATTTACACTTTCAATTTCTCACACCAAAGAAGCTATTCGTTACTTACACATGTATGTCCTATTTATTTCACTTAAGAGTACAGCCTCAATGCGCATCCGTTTAGCTATAAATGTCTCTAGTTTCTCATTCTTTATAGCTGAGTAGTACTCCGTATTATTAAAAAAAAAAAACCCACATTTTCTTTATCCAGTCTCCAGTTGATGGACAATTAGGCTGTTTCCAAGTTTTAGCTATTACAAACTGTGCTGCTATGAACATGGGTGCACATATATCTCTGTGATATGATTCTTTTAATTCTTTTGTGAAGATACCCAGCAGGAGAATAGCTAGGTCAATTGGGGCCTCTAGTCCTAGTTTTTTGAAGTATCTCCATACTGATTTCCACAGTTTTTTGAAGTATCTCCATACTGATTTGCACCAGTCTGCTTTCCCACCAACAGTGAAATTCCTTTTTCCCCACAGCCCTGTTAGCATTTGTTATTGGTTGGTTTCTTGATAACAGCCATTCTTTTTTTTTTTTTTTTTCAGGCAGGGTCCCCCTTTGTAGTGCAGGCTGGCTCTGAACTCACTATGTAGCCCAGGCTGGGACTCACAAACTCACAGGGATCCTCCTGCCTCGGGCTCCCAAGTGCTGGGATTATAGGCGTGTGCCACCACGCCCCGCTGTTGATAGCAACCATTCTTTCTGGGGTGAGCCTTGTTTTCATTTGCATTTCTCGAATGACCAGTGATGTAGAACATTTTTTCGTATGTTTATTTGCTATTTCTACTTCTTTATCTGAGAAATGGCTATTCATGTCAGATGCCCATTTTTGGATTGGGTCTTTAAATTTGGGAGGTCTGAGTTTTTAAAGGTCTTTATAGATTCTAGATAGTAGTCCTCTGTCTGAGGAACTGCAGGTGAAAATTTTTTCCCACGTTGTGGATTGTCTCTTCACTCTGTTGGTGGTTTCTCTTGCTGTGCAGAAGCTTTTTTTTTTTTTTTCTGGTACCGGGGATTGAACTCGGATCCTTGTGCTTGCGCAGCAGGCAGCGAACAGAAGCTTTTTAATAAGAAGAGATCCCACTTGTTGATTCTTTGTGATAGTTCACATGCAACTGAGGTTTTGTTCATGAAATCTTTTCCTATGCCAATGTCTTCAAGAGTTCTACCTAACCTCTCTTCCAGCCAGTTTAGTGTT